ATATGAGGGAAGAGCGAGCGAGTTTGACCCAGCCCTTTTCTTTATCTTCGAAACGTTCCTTCAAGATGGCACGTCGTTCTGGTTGTAGTAGTCTGAGATGCTGCCAACTGATGCGGCAATTCTTAGTCGCTCCATAAAGACGGCTAGACTGCAAGGATTCCTTCATATAGTCTACATGTCTCTTCGCTTTATGTGAAGTTAGTGCTTATGTAGTGGCACATTCGCGCAATTTCCTCCGCGTCACGCCAGACATGAGGTCTGGTGATTAAAAGCCTCCACCCACCTTTTGGACAGCTGCAAATTCCGTGAGAACGCAGCGGCCAATAACACGCCGGCATTCGTTGGCTGACCTCAATCTGTCTGGTCACTGGCCTTCAAGGCCGACGCGAAAAGGGCCTGACTTCACTGACTGTCTACGCTCTGACTCTGGACCCGGCGTCCTAGTAACCGGACTGCACCCGTCCGAGAGTCGACTTCCTCCTAGCTATTCTCCACTTCCTTCTGTACATGATAAACTGTTCCTGCCACTCTGGCCTTCTTCTTCTTCTCCTAAGGAACCGGGCATGAATGTTGCACTGGCTAGGGTTTAACTTTATTAACTCTTACCCCCGTCTCTTTCTTTGAAGCTTGATTTCTCGGGATATTCAGGACTTGGTCATGTGTAAATCGCATGGTCGATCTACTTGGCCTTGCTTTCCAAGACACTTTTGTCCATTTTCGTTGATTTTGATTTTGTCCTACCATTAGAACTCGTCGTCGGGCAAGTGGACTCCAAGTTTTGTCTCTGGGAGAATGATGGATCTTACCGCTTGCGCTGATCAAACCAAAATCAGCCATAACTGATGGTTTTATACGGCACATTTTATAACTAGTGTCGATTTTTATGGAACGGAAAATGTGCTGCTCTGTGCTGTGCTACGAAGCGACTGTGACCAGCTCTAGGCCTGCAGCGTTTACTCGTGCTGTTGAACCGAAGCATCTATATATTGTACCTCAGCCACTGACAATAAATGCCTTCGGCGTGACCTACCTTTGGGAAGTTGGCGTCGGGCAGTATATGATTGGGTAGTAATTGATGGTGCACACGGGGGTCATCAATTGCCTTCTTGACGTCCAGGTTGAAATAAAGGTCATTTAGTGCCGACTGAAGGGAAGATTGGACAAAAAAACAAATTGCATCTTCTGGAAAAAAAGATAAACTCAATAATCTTATAACAGAATATCGCTTTATTATCATTGCTGATCTAAAATTTCAAGATGAGGATTTTATCAATTTTATCCTTATTAACCGGTTTGGCAACATGCGTAGATCATAAGAGAATGGGCGCACAAACATAGTATTTGCAAGAACGCTGATATCAACCTTGTGCTGGTCTTTATGCATGTAAGGGCGCAGAGCGTTTAAAGCTGCAAGAGGCCTGTTGGCAGAGTTGGCATCTGAATACCATGCCTTACGTTTCAGTGGCCCCACTTTTGAGTGTCTGGACCTACACTGGGCTTGTTATGTCGATAAAACTTTCGTCATTGCCAAAATATCTGACAGTGGGCGCCTCAAAGAACTACTGAACTCAGTTGACTCGAATACCCAATTCACGATGAAAGCTGAAAAACAACCAAATTTACTTCCGCGATGTCTCTGCGCACCCATATGCAGCTGCAATACTGAAAACTACAGTATTCAGAAAAACCACAAGCACAAAGGAAAAAAAAACCATGTTCCACCTCATGACTCAGGTCAAATAGCCTCGCCAACAGAGATATCACTTTTCTGCTACCACGACACACATGTACAAATAGGAACCTCAAAGGCTACCCTCAAATACACTGATACTGATACTATACCTCAACAGCAGTGGGCCGTTCGACCGTCCATTTCGACGATGTCCAGGGTACGCCCAACAACAAGGTGGTGCAGGGACAGTAACTTGGCGTGCATTAGTTTTAAGTGGTAGTGGACCTGCGCAGCATCTACCGCACTCTTCCCTCACCCACCTGGGCCCGGTGCCAAGGCATTGCCAAGAAGACCAGAGATGAGATCGGGCGCGTAGCTGCCCCTACAATGCGTGCCACTACATCTGGCTAGGATCCCAATTACGTGCGAGTACAATAAGAGGCCACACTCAGAAGGCGCAATTGCAGCCCGACTCTCAGTCCGCCAGCCAGGTACGGATGAACCGATCTGCCACGAACTTCACGTTGGACCTCGAACTGGACACTCTTTACCCTCACTTCCATAGCAATCACCCCCTGTCTCACAAACGTAGCTGTGTGCACACTCTTCTCCAAAGAGCTGAAGCACTTTGCAGCACGCCAGTTGACAAAAGAGCCGAACCGCAGTACCTTAATGACTTCTTCTAAGCTAATGGATAGCAAACACCCCTCCACTGTGGTGACGAAGCGTAACGCAAGCGGCCGTCAAACTACGCATGCATCCATACTAGGGCCGAGACAATGAACGAGAACAAAACCGATCGGCCCAAGGCCGACGGGTCAAGCCAATCATTTAAATACTTGATCGAAAGTGACAGTAGACGCTTCAAAAATTAAGAACCGGCCAAGCTCTCTCAAATATCAACATGAACCAAAACTTGTTCCTGTCTTAAATTCTCAAAAACTGCGATTACTAATACTTTCTTTAGGAATTTTATGGAGTTCGTAATGGAAATTTCGCAGTTCCTCGTAAGCGGGTGGAGTTAATGGAACTACTATTTAGAATTTTTGTAGTTGGATGCACTGGCTAAGGATACTATCGATCGCACAGAAACTTCAGTTTCTTTTAGGTAAACTGTCATAAAAACAAGTTTAATTTCCTAGAGGGAAGTGCTATCTTCTTTTTAGTTCGGCAACCAGCATTTTCAAATGTATAGTAAAGTTTAGAAAAAACATCGCTCAGTCATTCCAGCAGAATACTCGCATATTTGTTCTGGAATAGTAAATATCTCACATACGTTGATGACGGACGTGAGAATCAATGATCCACCGGAGGCGCCAATCACGAGGCGAACACTGCCGTTTGTGGGGTGTGTAAAGATGACTGGTGACATGGAAGAGAGCGGCCGTTTACCAGGACGAATAAAATTCTCCTCAGCTGGTGCTAGACCAAAGTAGTCACTGGTGTTAGGACTGGAGAAGTCATCCATCTCATTGTTAAATAAAACACCAGTCCTTCTTCCCATCATCTTTGACCCGAACCTAAAATGGGGCAAATATCAGTTGACACCAGGTGTAGGAGCTTCATTCCCAAGGAATTATATTTTCAACACGAATGTGATTGCTCGAAAGGGGGGGTTAAGGGCTGTGTTTAACCAACTATCCACGTAAAGAGCATTAGTCCATTGTCCCATGACCCTTAAATGTGTGTTATTTATAAATGGAACATATTCAGCACTTTGACTGTGATTTGAAATTAATATTTCGAGTACGAAAGAATAATTTACTTTTGATTAAATTATGTTTTTCACTCAGGATTAAAGCATGCTCGAAGGAGTAAATGGAAACGTGAAATATTTGGAAGTGAAGTAAAAAGGCGGTCGGTTTTTGGTAAGTTGACTCATGTATATGTGTTTTGGGGAAAGAGCTTTAAGACCACTCGGCATCGACCGGGGTAAGTGCAAGGAATGCAAGGTCAGCAACAGGTGGTATGGCGAAAAGGAGAGCCGAATTAGATTTTGTTAATGGTGCAGCACTTAATAGACTCAATTCGGGAAGAGCGCAGGCAAATATCGCTTCCAATGGCAACAGCAGCAATACCAATTGCTGAGTAATTATTCCACCACTACCTAACACCAGCAGCCATAGACGGCTTGGCTGCGGACATGGAAGTCCTTATCGCACCGTCAAAAAATGCGGGACTTCCTACCTATGGCACGTACATGGCCGCATGGTGACTGCATCATATAGATGCTGCACCCCTCGTGTGTCTATCACCCATATTTGTGTCTGGCTGTCTGGTGATGGATTTGAGTGAGCATACAAACGGCTGGCTAACAGAATTCTTGCTTCGACGATCCCATGTCCTTCTCCCTCACCGTAACTAGAATTTTACTCTGTGCATCTTTTAGTACCAACGCAAAATGGAAAGTCCATTTCTGTCCTGAAGTCAAGACACACAACACACCCATGAGACTTCCCCGCCAATACATGGCTCCGCTCAGTGGGTGTGGCCAGACGAGGCAAGACGCGGCCATGGTTATGTCTATTTTAAAGAAATATTCGGAAATTCTTTTGATGGTTTAAAGGACCAATTTTACATTAAAGCATACTGTCTTTATCTAAATAAACAACAATTCTCCTAGAAATCCCAGAAAGCCTCATAAATTGGCCATAGTGATTGATCTATATGCACTGATCGGGATATGAACTAAAAATATGGCGTCCAGTACCGCACTTACACGCCTCATTTGCGTTTCGTTTGTGGTAAGTGTTGCAATCTTCGCATCCAGCTTACGTCTTTTATCCGTTTGGTGTACTATTTCGCGTTTATTTAAGGAGCATTATACCTTTATCATTTACATTATCCCATTAATTATTTATTAAATGTTTATTAAGATAGGAACAGGTCTACTAGCTGAGTAACGCATTGACAATTGGGGCATCAATTATTAATGAGAAGGCGACTCAGGTTTATAACTCTTGTGTGCAGATTGGGGTTCGGCTATCGTCATTTCAGTGTCCCCGAATCTTAGTAGCTTAACCTTAATGATTTAAATTAATGTCTGAAACAATGAAAACGTTTAGTTTTTATCTTTGCATATGTTGTCGAAGTGTAGGCCCTCAATCAAATTACGCAGTCGCCAAAGCATGATCTAAAACCGAACTTACTTGGTGTTAATGGTGGATGTAACTGCAACAGCATCTCCGTTGTCAGCAAGGATGCTAATGTGGGATGTTCCTTCTTGATTCCCAGTGGACCACACAGACCCATAATAGTTTATGTCCTGTGTGTGTTCATCGACAATCATGGATTGAAGTTTGTCAGCAAATTGGAGTGTTTGGAGCTGTTTCAATAGCTATAACAAATTGAAATGGGAGTTGAAGATAGCCATCTGTTGGAAACCCTCGTTGTACCCAAAATAATGGTAATGAACACATGTCTCATAAACACTCAGCCGTTATCGACAGACCCTCATAGGCCAAATGCCTGTGTATACTCCCAACTCTACACTACATATTTTTAAATGTATTCTCTCGGCCAAAACCTCTGCCCTACTGCAAGGTTCATCGACCCTTGGAATGACTAAACTAAGAACTAGTGGCGGTCTAAATAAAAATTACGAGAACAAACTTTTAGCCACCAAATAGGTATTTTTGTTGCACTTTGTTCAAATAAACGTACGCGAAAGGATACAGACTTTGACGGATTGCGCCAGGTAAATTGAGGTGCAGATGTAATTTGCTTTCTTATTAAAAGCAATAAAGTACGCTGATTTTATCACAATGGGCTATTCGCTTAAAAGCAAAAATCACTCGATAAAGACTGAGAGCAATTTTAAGCTGAAATTCGATAAACGTGGAATTTTCGGGACAGAATGTATGAAGTATACCTACTAAGCCATCTATCGAACTAACTCCTCCTTACGCAGGTACATATGCAAACCTTTCAAATGGATGATAGCTTAGGGAGGATGTAGGAGCCAGAAGGGCACATGTTCCCGAAAGGTTTGTTCCTGAGGCCATTTGAATGTAAAGCTGTTTTCTTGTGTTATTTTCAAAGTCTGCTAAAAGACAGGTGTTGAGCACCGTAAGTGACTAGATCTATTCGCATACTCTGCATAGCGAGCTTACAGTACAAATCAGTATTTAGGGACAAACGAATAAAAACACTGAAAATGTGCAGCTCGTTTCATTCAAACTCTCGAAATAATTACGAGTAAATCAATTTTTACAAATCCACTGTGCTTCTGGTGGCGATCTTTGAGATGAGTCCACATAGATCAGCAAAAAAAACTAAATGCAACGGGCGGCATTCCTGAGCATGTAAACATTTGAACTTAGCCGAAGTATTCAAATGTACTGACGGCGTCTGACCTTCTTTGCATTTTCGGAGAGGAAGGCTTCGTCGGAAAGATGAGACCGCTTGGCGAATGCGAATTTAAATGTTTCAAGAAGCCGATGGTAGTAGAGATATCCCCTTTCACAGAGCTTGACGTTTTCGTTAGCGTAATTATATTCTGGGATCGAGACATGAAGGAAAGATTTTTAAGTAAATGCAGCCAGTTTATTTCCGACAATATTTTACCGATAAATCAAAATAACCTGCTTCTTAGAGTAGTTTTCTTGGGCGTCTGTTAGCTAATCTGATGGTACCAGAAACAAGCAAAAAATTCACCTATGTTGACACTGGCTTCCGCGTCGTCGCTTATCTTTTGTTTTCTGAGCGGCCTTTGCTTATCCAAAATATTCTCCATTCCTCAGGTAAAAGTCGCAACAAACGATATTACTAAACAAAACATTATTATGGTTTACTACCCGACTACCTTTGTCTAGAAAGGTATTTTTCGGTGATGAAGGTTCACCGATAGAACTAACGACAAAGGCACAGTTATTTGTAAATTTTACCAAAAATTCGATTTTTTAAATTTATCAATATCAGTTTTGGGGAGCGTAGTTATTGAAGACCTATTTATTTTGTACGACGTGTCTTGAATACCTGTGTGCGGAAAAGTACCGATCTAGTAATAGACGACTGAAGAATGAATTTAACAAAACCGACCGAAAAGATAATTGCAAAATATTTAATCCATGACGGTTACTGTGAGGCGTCTTTCGAAATGTTTCTATGAGCTAGCTTACAAGTTAAATGTTTTAACTGAAGTGACCAAACTTCATGAGGTAAGCCGGCAAGGGCAGTTCTAATGGAACAGAAAAAACAGCTACTTTATCAATGAATTTTTAGTCGTTTATCTTGTCTTTTGTTGCGGCAAGATCAGGAAAAAGACTCCCTATTTCGACGGTCCTGTGGTAGTTTCCAGGGACATTTATCTAATTGGTACTGTAAGGATTAAGGCTAGTCGTAAGGGTCGGGACTAAATGTAGAGTCATGGTTAGGGGTTAGGTGGGATATTGGTTACATTTATGATTAAGTTTGACATTGGGGCTTAAAGTGGGGGTTGGGCTAAAATTAGGGTTAATTTTAAGGTTCTTCTTTGTGTTACGATATGGATTAGTGCTAGTATTTAGGTTAGGGCTGGGAAATGGAAAGATTGTTCGTTTTATAGATTTTCGCCCAAGACTGCTTGTAGTACCGGGGTAGTTCATATTTACGTTTCTTGGCCCTTTTCCTGCTCATAGATTGCGCTATGCCAACTGTCATGCTACTCCTTTGTACTATGTAATTGCTTCTGTAGATTTATTTTCACGCAGAACTCTTCATATAACTGTAAAATCAAGCATTGTGTTTGGGTTTCTTTATTGTCGAAAAAATGGTTTTGGCTTTGGATTCACGGTCGTCTTTCAGACGGTGATGCAAAAATAGACACATATTTTGGACTCATCTTCCAGATTCATCGTGGCCTTTAAAAAGGAAAGCTTTTTAAATTTTGTCTAGGCAAATAGCGATGTGGCTGTAACAAGTGTGGATCGTCGGTCTGATATACACATACATATTAGCCCCCCAGACAAGTTAATTTAATTTTAAGAAGCTGGCGTAATCGTTTTGGTAAAAAATATTCAGCGTCCAACATAGTGCTTAGACGTGAGTCAATGTATAATAGTGAACGGAATTAACACACCAAGAGCAATAAGTCACCAACAATTCAATCGAACGTCTTCTAATGAAAAAACGAGATTAGAAATAATGGTTAGTTTCTCATAACCAGTAAGTTATGGTTGTTTATCAGTGTCCTATTAAACGCTATATTTTACGTTTTAGCAAATAATGAACAGAACTGATTTTAAAAGGACGTGAACTGCGCCCACAAAGTGGACCTCGAAGAACCGACAGCCTTAAAGTCTGAAAAGCGACTGAAAGGTCACTCGGATAGGTGTTTGTAGTGAAAACCCAAACTCAGATTCTGTGTAAATCGCTAATGTGCACAGGCCACATTTTTCTATAATCTGATTCGAAAATATATACTGTCTTCTAATATTATGCATAATGTGAAGTCGGTAGTATCATTCCGTCCTTAAACTTGAAATTTGTAAGTAGATGAAAAGCGCTATAAAAACAGGAAATATATAAACTGCCATTTCTACAGTGGATATGAGAGGCCTGCTGCCGTTGGCATGTGAACCTTTGTCGGAACTAACTTGCTAGCATGTTCAGCGCAAGTCCAACGAGGACTCCACTGGATGGCGGAGGTGCGGCATGCAGTTCGAAGTCAGTCTTTGCATTCGCGATCGGACCACGTCTGATCTGCATTCTGATGGGTGTTCTCCACATTGGGTGGTAATTAAGTAGGTCATTGAGAGTGATAATGGAACCCATTTCCGCCAGGTCATCTGCCATTGCCTTGAGCACTTTGAGGGAGGGTTGGCCGACTCCTTCCTGGGCGACTAATCGCAAGAAGTTTGCCAACTCGGGTCTCACTATTTTGTCCCCCTCTTTCTTCCACCCTCCTGTTTTATTGTCTACTAAAATTGATCTGAATTTAGAGCAGTGCATGTAAGCATGCATGAATGGAGAGCTTTAGAGCCAAAAGAAGATGTATCGATAAGCTAACTATGAACTGAAGATTGAAATGAATTTCAAACTCATTCTACTTCCAAGGAAGCTGGTAAGTCAACTTCTAGCAATCTATAAAAAAAGTTTTACTCGGTAGATAAAAGCCTTCAGTACATCTGACGAAGGATTGAATTTAAAGCGAAAAACGTTCAATTTCCTAACCATTCTGCTTCCAGGCTCTTTCATTATTGTCGATTTGGTTAGTGGGATCTAGTTAGCTGTGTAGTACAAGCGATATGAAATCAACAGCTATCACACGACATTTGATAAAAGGCAACTTGAGAACTTTCAAAAAAATATATTCCAGATATTGAGTAACATCTGTAAATTATTTGTTCTGGTTGAAATTACATTTTTTAATAAAAAACACAAAACCTCCAGCTAAATTGTTTAAAAGAATTAAATTGATCCTGTGCTGTACATGTATGCTGTATTAAGCAAACCCAATTCATCTTGGGGATAATGTGCTGCAACCCTTTGTTGTAATGCCTCCGGATCGAGAACTCAGAAACCAAAGGTCAGTCAGAAGGGCAACTTATAAAACGTCACCTCTCTGATGGCAGAAGTCCGAAACTAGTGTCTTTAACATCAGACATCCCGTAGGCAGATTGCGTTGACTGCCACCTCCACTATGGATAATTATTCTACTGGCAAAGTTAGTTAATCATATTGCCTATGTGCTGGTAATGTACACTATCTAAAAGAAGTAAACGACCTGTTCATGCTAACAACCAATACTTTCCTATCCACCCATTCAGTTTAATAATATTTTGCATGTTATCGCCAAGCAAATAGTTTTAACACGTTTCGATTATCTCAAAAGAAAGGTAACCTGGTGTTTGCTTTTTGTATTTTTTTTTTTGCAAAGTGAACTACCCTAAGAAATAATTTAGATATCCTTTACTCTTCTTGAGGTAAGTATTCAAAAGAAATGGATATTTCCGAAAACTGGCGAAAATGAACATTTAATGATTTATATGTTTCTTTATATGCATAAGTGATAGTAGGTAGGTGGGTGGCTAATGGAGAATGCATAAGACTTTAGCTAAAAGTTGCTTAATATATTTTTAAGCGTAAGGAAATGACAGCTCATCTGAGTGGATGTTCGATAAGGCAACAAACATACCTAAGGGCAAACTTCTCATCAAGATAAGGTCTAATGAGCCTTATCTCTTTGGCAAGAGTTGGTGTAACTTTCGACCCTCTCTCAGCCATCTTGATGGCATTTGTAAAAAGTTCAGACCAAGGCAACTTTCCAAATCGCTTCCACGCGGAGTACATGCCAGATATCTCACTAGGCACGGCAATCGCCAGGGGTCCTGTTAAGGTTCGGAAGGTAGAGGTAGTTATGAAGGTAATGTTTATCAGGACTTTATAACAGAAAGTGAGATCTAAATTGCACAGTTTTGTTATAAATCTTAATAAGGAGAACAAAAAGTCTTTAATAGGTGGAATTAGATAGTTTGACAGGCAGCCTACAGTTCCTTCACGTATATGCCCATTATTAATCAACCTTTTACATGAGAGGAGCATACATAGTCGAGACTCAAGCCTGAAACACGATTTAATTGGTATCCTTTTCGAAATGTAAGACGGTACACTTAACGCTCTAACCCTCTGAGCTACGAAATCCTGTCGTAAATTTATTAAAAATTGGTTAATTCTATATGATACGGTAGTCTGGGTAGATAACGTGACCCAAGTGAGATTATGCGTACGATTTCCAGTGAGGCGTCATAGTTCAGGTAGCTAGAGCGGTGACTGTACTCAAACCTTGCCCTCGCTGTCTTGATTTCGATGCCCACTGAGCTTATTGGAATGGTCACAGGTGGGTCAATCTAAATATTTAATTATTTCATGTTATCTAAAAAAACTAGACAGTAGCTATCTTGTAATCAATAACGGGAGTGTACATAGGCCTCTACCTATCAAACAGTCTCTGCAACTAAATCATGCCGTTTTAAATCAGATAACAGCCATGTCCTACGCTCACCAAATAAATGCTACCATACAGAAGAGTCATATCGTTCAATGGAGTTGGAACTCACCGATTTCGCTAATAGATTCCAATGATTCTCCAAGTTAGGCCTAGGTAGTTGCAAGTTACAGACGTCATTTTAACCGACAGACACACTTACAGCACTCATTTAACCCAGTCTTACGCAAGTTCTTCCATGGATGAAGACACAAATTGGCCGCGGCGAGTTCTGAGAAGGGCATGCGATGGTCTGACAGGAACGGCCCGATATAAGATTAATGAGACGGGGAAGTACACAATCCAAAAGACAAAACGCCGATCAACAGACTCAGTCATCGAAAACTCTCCCCATCTGCTGACATAGTGCATAGCAGCATATCATTTTTCCGTATTTCCATATCTGGTAACGTAATTGCGAATAGAGACAATATATAATGAAGCCGAGGCTTGAACGGTCTCCGTAGTTGCTGCACAGCTTTATCTCAGCCTGTTTACTCTTTGATAACCTGCTTATTTGTGCTATGACCACAAAAAGAGGAGGAAGTTTGTTGCTGAAAATTTCGCAACGATACTTCCAAAATAAATCGTATGTCATTCTCTGTCTGTCTCTCTCTGTCTTGTTATCCCAATCAACACATCAAGCCAGGCGTTGTAAAATAAGCCATGTAACCAGAGTAAACGAAAACTTTCCGAAGACAAGGCCAAGTAATTGGAAACTTTATGTTAGAATCCGTTTCGCCACAGTCCCGCCCTTGATGCTGGACAGAAACCCCAGTTGCTTGAAACCTCAGTCAGTTAATAGACTTGTTTGAGTGAGAACTTCTTATTTAATTGTGTTTTATCTTATTGTAACGGCTAAATGGTATATAGGGACAATGTCTTCATAACAGTGGTACCTGTCTGCCATTTGGGAATACGTAGATTCTTAAGCTGAACTGCTTAAAGAAAATCTGTATTTCCATTTAGAAAAAAAAATTGCGCTATGCTCGTGTGTATTTATCTATTTTGGACACTTTTAGTACCCTAGTGCTTTCCAGTTAACATAGTTTTATCTTTTTGATTATTTGACTACGAATGGAACAGCGGTCTTCTGTATAAGTGTAAGTCTATAGCATAGAGTGAACTTACCAGTTTGTTTGTCCACGGCAGGTCTATCAACAAACATATTCTCTGATGCTGCTGCCGGTGCAGTTTCTCTAGAGTCTAGCACATATGACTGACGCTCAGATCTGCAAAATTTAGGAAACCCGTTAATGTAATCACTTAATTCACTTTTGCATCCCACTAGAAATGAAAAAAGGAACAGATAAAAAAGCCACAGAGGATTAGAGCGATAGCAGAGGAATATAAATCTCCTAGCGACATAATCCAAACGGCGAACTTCCTAAAGTTGAAGTTCTATCTAAGTAAATATAGGTTAGATAATAGCTTGAAAAGCGTATTAAGCTCTGCGTACTTAGGCTAAGGGTTAAATCCTAACTTTTATTCTTTCAAGTTTTAAACAACCAGAATACGAAAGTAGACAAACCCATACCATTTTTATTCGCTTTCAAGCTGGAAACAATGGCACCAAAGTGGCACAAGATTGCTTAGAAGCTATGTATAAGTGAAAACTCAGTAATTAGATCACGGCCTGATAACAGTTAAATTGGTCACCCACCGTAGATAATCCTAGCCCTAGATTTCTGATCTCCGGGAACACCCTAATGGCAATGTTCCGGAACCAAAGGTTAAAGTGGTTCCAGTGGAA